AGCCCCCCTTCAGATCTGGAACTGAATTCATCCCCATGTTAGAACCATCACCCATTTCAGAGCAAAAGGACAGCATTTGCTCAAGGACCAAGTTCAAAGGATTAGGGCAGAAGGGAGACTGGAGACAGGAAACGCAGGAAGGAAGTCAGAGCAGTGCTAGTACATTGCAGTGGATGAGTAGAAATAAAAAGTGTATGAATTGTTGAATGTAATACTGATGGTGTGCTCAGAATGGAGTCTGCTCTGAATGAATCTGTTCGGAAAACCTGCACCCAATTCACTATAAAAAGCTTCAAATTGAAGAGCAAGCCCCCCAAGGAGTCAGGAGGGCCGGCATTTCCTTTGTGAGCTGAGCGGAGGACGTGGATGTGGATCCTGCTTACAGACCTGCTTACAGGTCTGCAGCCTCCCCTCCCCCAGGCTCTCCAAGCAGTGCTGCCTGATACCACAGGTATTGTTCTTCACACTGGCAGGTAATTGTTTACTCACTTCTCCCCAAGTCAGAAGACTCCTTGAGGGTAGGGAGAGAGGCTGCTTTAATCAATGTTGGTTTCTCAAACACTTAGCAGTTCAGAAATGTGGGCTGCATTGTCTTGAATCGCTTTGAATAAGCGATCCAAACATTGGAGTGGTGCCAGACTCAGAGACCACCATGTGGCTGTAGTCCGTCTACTGTGGTGGCTTCCAGACTCCAAGTCTGGAACTCCCTCAGCCCTTCCAGGTCTCGCCCAGCCCCACGCCCACCTCACCATCTCTCTCAGTGCCTGAGGTGTCTGCCTCAGGGGACACCCTGGCTTTGCAACATTTCTGAGAAGTGTCCTTTTGGGAACAGTTGTCTACTAAGCGAGTATCACAACACACTGGAATACTGTCATACTTTGAATGGTGAAATCGCTGTCATTTTTCCTCAGCTGTTCCTGCACAGTTGTTTTCTTCTAGAGGGTTTTAGAATTGTTTTGTCAAGGCACACCTATTGATTTTTATGGAGATTGGATTAAATGTATTAAATTAAATTACAACATTTAGCCTTCCTATCAAAAAGAGCTCCCGTGGCACTGTCAAGTAATCATTGAACTGCTCATCACAGGGTCCGGTGGTTCAAACCTACCAGCTGCTCTGCCAGAGAAAGTTGAGGCTCTCTACCCCCATAAAGATTTACCGCCTCAGACACCCTGTACAGCAGTGGTTCTCAACCTTCCTAATGCTGCGACCCTTTAATACAGTTCCTCGTGTTGTGGTGACCCCAACCATAACATTATTTTTGTTGCTACTTCATAGCTGTAGTTTTGCTACTGTTATGCATCGTCATGTTAATATCTGATATGCAGGATGTATTTTCATCGTTACAAATTGAGCATAATTAAAGCATAGTGATTCATCACAAAAACAACATGTAATTATATATTGTGAAATATTTATTTCTAATTATAAGTAAATGAAATGGTGTCTTGAAGCATGGTGTAGCATGGGTAACAGTCTTAATATAGCAACAGTAAACTACATTGCTGCATTTTGCGACAGTATGTGTAAAAAGCCAACATCAGTGTGAAGGTTGAGATAGCTTCTTTCTCACCAGATCAGCATACCTGCATGTGGGTTGACCCGCCTGGAGACGGATGGAGGAGCCATGTTTCGGTTCCTAAGACCATCGGGAATATGTGTTTTCCAATGGTCTTAGGCGACCTCTGTGAAAGTATCATTTGACCCTCAAAGGGATCATGATCTACAGGTTGAGAACCGCTGCTGTAGAGGGTCGCTGTGAGTCAGCATCGGCTTGATGGCAGTGGTCACCCAGGAGTATATCTCGCAGTCATACAAGTCTTACGTTTTCATTGGAATTTGAGGGAGTTATTCCTGTTGGAATCAACGTAATGGCAATGGGTTTGGGGGTTTTTGTCTTGTCTTTCGGTCTATAGTTTGTCTGTGGTCACTGCTACGAATTTCGTATGTTTTCGTATCAGCCCCGTCACTGGGCTCATTTATTAATCCTTGCCACTTTGGTTCACTTCCTGGAGGATACCAGGTACAATATGCATTTTCTCCATCTTTTTAGTGCTTGGTCCTTTGCTTTCTCCCACTGACAGCATCCAGCATAAAGTTGAAGGGCCGATTTTTCCTCCTTGTCCTTTCCCCAACTTAATGTTTCCCCATTCTTAAAATGACGGTGCCCTTTTTTCTTTCTTTTTGGAGATATTCTACAGCGTAGGAAGAAAATATCATTCAGTACCTGTTTTATTATTAGATTATATTATTCCCCAGGAAATGGATTCTGAGAGTTTGGGTTCCCACCCCACCCCCCACCCCAGGCCCTTTCAGTGTCAAGAGAATCAAGTGGTTCTTCCCCTCTGACTGCCTTTGACTTCAGATATGATTAATTAAAGATTTCCTCGTCATTAGTCATTGAAGCCTAGTGTGCTGGTATCACAGTTTATTCTTTCAATACGGTGCCAGATCTGATTAGAACCATTCGACTTGGAATGTTGGAATATCTCATCTCAGCAAGATAGGTCTGAAGGCATCCCTTTGTGCTGTTGGTCAAGGTTCGGTCTCCAGGTAATGCTCGCTTCCTACTGGAATTTGGAAGGAGCCCCCGTGGCAGAGTGGTTCCGAGTTGGGCCGCAACCCACAGGTTGGCAGTTTGAAACCACCAGCCACCTTAAGGGAGAAAGACAAGGCTTTCTACTCCAGTAAACGCGCAGGGACAGGTCCGCACTGTCCGAGCAGGTTGCTGTGAGCGGGAATCAGCGCTGTGGCAGGGAGCTGGGTTTGGGTTTGGGTATCGGTCGATATGTGTAAGCACTCTCTATGAAAATCGGCCAGGGCCTTCTGAATTCCGAAGAACTGGAAAACTACACCCTTCCTTGTTCACTGTGGGGGATTTCAAGTTCCCTTTAAGAGAACCCATTTGAGTGAGATTCCAAATTTAGGATACATAATTAGTCAGTTCATATTCTTTAAGTTGGCTCTATGCTTCTCTCTCTCGTTGATCAAACGTGTCAGAAATGTGGCTATTTGGGCAGTTCTATTCTTTTTGGCTGTTTAGTTGATTCAGCATTTCTGCTTCTCTGTCGGTTCTTCCCCCCGATTTCTCTAGGTTTACTGTACGGTTGCTAGACTCGTAGTGACATTCTGCAGGGTTTTCTGAGGTGGCAAACCTTTGTGGGAGAAGATTGGCTCATCCGTTTCCTGAGGATGGGCTGGTGGTCTTGAACCGCTGACCTGGAGGTGAGCTAGGCCAATGTTGAATGGGTGCTAGGTCAGCTTGTAAAAAAAAAGACTGCTGGTTCAGCAAAAGCCTAAATTTCAACCCCTCACCTCACCCATTCCCCACCCTAGTCACCCCTACTCTAGAAAGCTAGGTACTCTATCACCTTCTCCAACTCCCGCTGTCCAGCACGCCTGGGCACCGCCATTCTAACTCTGTTCTTGAATTGTAGCCATCCGGGGACAACATTCTACCATCTCTTCAGCTTGAACTTTGTTCTGCCCGGCACCAAATACAGAGTGTAGGGACATTTCCTGGATATGCAGTTAGTATTTCTATCCTCTCACCTAAGAAGACTCATGGAAGGGAGACGTTTAATGTTCCGAGCAGCCTTCCAGATACATGCCTCAGTGAGAGCCACACTTACCTCCTCCGACCGCAGTTGCCCGACCTTAACAAGGCCCCTGTCTCACCCCTGCAGAACCATGAACAAAGGCGGGGTGAAGGAGTTACCGAGATGTTATCATTCCCGGGTCTCTGTGTGGCTTGACATAGAGCGCGTCTTAGTTCATATGTTAACCCCCTCTGGGCCATTCAGAGGGCATGGCCAACTTCGCCAGTTGTCCAACCGGCCCTCTCCTCGGCCTGCCATGCCCACTCCACACACCACACCCCTTATCAACCAGAGGAATGACTTGAAATGGGCCGAGCTGACTGGATTGCCGGCAGCCCACTGGGAAGCCATGAGGGTCTGCGTTTGTCCCAAACACAGATCGCTAGACTTCTCCTCCCTGGCTCAGGTTTCAGGATCGACACCCCCAGAGCCTCCTTTTGCACCCAGCATCAATTAGTTCTAAATCTGGGCCTAAGGAAAATCTACTTGATCAAACAGCAGGAACTTCCATATAACTTTGGCCCAACAGAATGGTCCACTTCAGAAGAATTCATCTCCCACCTTTCCAGTGTCTGTCTTCATTTTACTGAATTTGATCCCTAGGTAACCTGACTCTACCACCACCTAATCCCACCCAGTTGGTTCCCACTTAAAAGGACCCTATAGGCCTGAGTAAAATCTTTATAGAATCAAACTGCCACAACTACCTCCCATGATGAGGCAGGTGGGTTCGAACCACTGACCTTTTAGTTGTCATCTGTGTACTTTGCACAAATGTGCCACCAGGCCCCTCCCTTCTGTTTACCATATAGTCTCACAATGCCTTTAGGTAGTGTGTGAGAAAAGCCTGCCGCCCCTGACCTGTTGCCTGGGTCACTCTGGAGCAAGAAGGGCATGCCCCGCCTCTTATCCAAGTTCCAAGTGGGTAATAAGTGGAAAATCAATGGCGGGCTGGGCCTGGAGTGGTGATGTCATTAGTATCCCTGCCAGTCAGTGCCCTTAAGTGCTTTGTTAAGCACTTCCTGCAAGAAATTAAGCCCCTGTCCAATGGCTTTCCGATAACGGGGAAGCGTCATGTATCTGAATCGACTGATTCAGAAATAAATTTCAGTTGTGGTTGCTCTTGAAGAGAATGAAATATGTGGTCATCTCTCTGATTATATTCAGAATTATGACGGGAGGCCGTGGATTGCAGCTTGGTGCAAACCCGGCCTGTTGACTGCCTACGGTCTGTTTCACGGCCGTTTCTTGTAGCTCTTGGATCGCTAAGCAGGATCATTGGAAGCTGGGCAAGAGGAGCGCTCTGGGGTCCCTGCTTGGGTTGACCCCTGGGAGGTGGGATCCCGGGGTTGGCCTGAGGCCCGGAGGCTTCCTCTTACCAGGGCTGGCTCTGCCCCACAGTGCCACCTGTCATCCGCGTCTACCCGGAGAGCCAGGCACAGGAGCCCGGGGTGGCGGCCAGCCTGCGATGCCATGCGGAGGGCATTCCCATGCCCAGAATCAGTTGGCTGAAAAATGGCATGAATGTCTCCACCCAGATGTCTAAGCAGCTCTCCCTCTTAGGTAAGAACCCACTGCTCTGGGCGCGAGCCCCACTCCAGAAAGGCGTGGGAAGCAAACACGGGTCTCCCCCAAAGGTTTCTGCTGCCTGGGCTCACAGGGGTCTCTCGGGGCTTCTGAGAGCCGTGATGGGAAGCGGTCAGTCAGGCCCGACCCACACTCAGTTCCTTTGTGATGTGCTGGCCTTGCCTGGGCCTACCTCGGGGAGGGTGGCGCCCTGGTGTTTTTCATCTTGATGTGTTCACAAGGCCCATGAGGAGCATGGGGTGGGAGTGGCCAGGGCCTCCCTGAGCCCGGTCCTTTCTGCAGCCAATGGGAGTGAACTCCGCATCGGCAGTGTGCGCTATGAAGACACAGGGGCATACACCTGCATTGCCAAGAACGACGTGGGCGTGGATGAAGACATCTCCTCGCTCTTCATTGAAGACTCTGCTCGAAAGACCCGTGAGTCCGCCCTTACCTTTAAGCAACTTCTTGAGGGGAGAGTGGGGCTTTGAGTCACAAGAGAGGAAGTGACTTCCCAGGGGCCCAACCACCAATCATGATCCCCTGAAGACAGGTAGACCCCATTATCTTTGTGTGTTAAACTGGGGGGCTGGGGGTGCCCAGGAGTGAACAGGCTCCCCGGAAGCTTAGCTGCTCTGACATTGCAAGGGGAAGTCTCTGGGCAGCAAACAGGCGGGGACCCAGAGGACTGCCCCATGAGAGAACCCGGGCGGAAGCTCCTAGCTCTGTTGCAAGGAGCCTGGGAAACCAGGGAGAGAGGTTGCTCACTCTCTCTCTGACCAGACCCACTAGCTTGGGTGACCCTAGGACCTGACTTCAACACCCCATGTTGGCATCAGAAGGGTCTCGAGACCTGGAAGCATTTGTTCATCTCCAGAGCTATCCCTCCCGACCACCCCCACATACTGCTCGCTGGGCAATGAGGGGCTCTGACATTGCTTTCTCCTCTCCTTCCCTCGGTCATGTTCCCGCACGCCCAACTCGCCACCTGCAGTTGCTAACATCCTGTGGAGAGAGGAAGGTACCCAGCTTCATTGTTTCATGGGGGGGGAGTGGTTTCCTAAGGGCCATCCGTCAGCTGTCAGATGCCAGGCCGTGCCCAGCAGGGAGGGGCAGCCAAGGGTGGCGGGCACGGGTTCCCACGTAACATCTAGCGAGGCCCCCAAGGGCCGAGTTTACGATGGGCCATCTCCATGTACAGCTGCTGCCGCTTCGGCCGATGGACACCACTTAGCAGAGATTCACAAGCAGATCTGGGCCTCAGCCACTTTTCCAGGAGCGAATATTGGTGTTAGGCTTAGTGCCTACGCTGTTAAAAACACAAACAGAGCCCCTTGAGAGGAGCTGCACCTGAAGGGTCCTTTGAGGCCAAGCTCAAGGAAAAGGCCAGCCTGGTGTCTACACAGTCCCACCGTACGCTCTATCGATTGTGGATATTTTAAGGTCAGACACTCTTTAGTAGATTCGATCATAACTGTCATTTTTTGTGAATGAAAAAGTGCTCCAATATGAGGGGGCTTCAAACTGTTTGGGGAGACAAATTAAAGGAGAAGATCCCAGTTTTCCCACGGGATCTTTGAAGGCCCCTCGTATTGATGATTTCACACAGCTCAACTAGCCCGCCGAAAAGAGGGCGCTTGCCTGTCGCTGCTGGGGCCGCAAGTGCAGCGTGGGCCCTGTCCTCGTCGGTGGCCCCCAGGGCAGCGCAGCCTCCAAACCACCTGGCGGTTGCTTGTTCTCTCCTTGGTGACAAGGGCGGGGACAAGTGAGGCAGCAGAATAGAGCAGGCGATTTTAGGGTCAAGTGCAGACTCCCTCGTTAAAAACCAAGACACCTCCTGTCGGGTCTTTCTCGCCAACTCTGTGAGGTATCGCCAAGGGTCTCACACACGTGTGCAGGGGCAGAATCAGACTGTTTCCTGATTGTCAGGCTCAGAGGCAGAAACAGTCTGGGAGCTACACAGGGCCAAGGCCAGAACATGAGGGACTGTTTCCAGGGGGTTTTAGGGATGCTGGGACAAGCAGTACAATGGGTGCTGGTCACAGGCTCTCACTTGTGCCAGATGCCGCCTGGACTAGCACCTAGGCCATTATACACACACACACACACACACACACACACAGAGAGTTTGCTTTGGGAGGTGTTGTTTTCCTAGGGTGAGTCTATACCAAAGGGCTATACTTCCAAAAGTAGAGAACTACAACAAAGGTAGGGCACCCCAGCTGCAGAGGCCCCAAAGGCACGCAGGGCCGTGGAACTGGCCGGCACCATGCCAGCCTGGGATAGTCCCACTCACATGCAAAAGAACCAGTGCGCGCTCTGCTGTGGAGCCCACAGCCCAGACACGGGAGACCAGCACTCTGGCCAGTCTCCGCAGGAGAGGCGAGATGATGAATGCGGACAAAAGCAGAGGCAGCTTCTGCAGGCCCCGTAGCAGAAGCAAACCCCACACAAACTTCCAGGGGCTTCCTGTGAAACCATTTACTTGTTCGATGTGCATTTGCTGAGCTTCATGCTCCAGTGCTGACTCTGAACCAGGCACCATGCTCGGCCCCGAGGGCATGGCCACTACCAAGCCCATGTGCATGCCATAAAGCCCCAGTCTGTGGCTGCTCCTCCCACTAGCAGTTGCCCAGGAAAGCTGGGGCAGCTGTGCCCGGGCCCTGCAGGCTAGCAGGACTTGGCCCCCTTGGGTCCTCAGGTTTGCCAGACATTCTCCAGATGAGAGAGTGTGGAAGAGGAGGCCCCACCGTGGGCAGGACAGCAGAAATCAGAACAAGCACTCTGCTCCAAACCCTTCAGTGCAGTGGGGACAGAAAAGAGACACTCTCTTGATGGCTAGGATACCCACTCCCCTCCTGGGATGCTGCAGTCCTCCCTGGAGTGACAGCTTCCCAAAGACTGGGCTCAGCCACCTGCTGGGAGCCACCAACTCCCCAGCCCCACCCCCTGTGCAGGCAGTACTGACTGTGGAGCAGTAGGGCTGTGTCAGAGGCCACAGTGGCTGTGCCTCCCTGCTGCCAAGGGCGTGAGGCCCGGAAAACTGTCTGCAGAGACCGTGGAAGGAGGGGCATCCCATCTGAAAACTCACTAGAACTTACCCATGAGGCCATTAGCCCAGGGCTGTGGTTTTCTCAGCATGCTAGCAAAGAGTGAATGGCATATTTCATTTTCTGAAAATTTACAGAAAGCTGTTTAATAGCCTAGCTTTGGAATGAGGGCGGGAGAGGGGGCGGGGAGAGAAACACTCCCCATAGATTATCTGTTGCGATTTCCTTTTATGGAGAATCGTGCCCAGAAGCAGGGGCTGGAGTCCAACTTCTGCCTTAGTCCAAAAGCCTGAAATCAAGCCTCGCCCCTCCTTGGGCCTCAGTTTGTCTTGAAAATAAGGCAGCTAAGCCAGCCACTCCCACACAGCACAGCCCTCCACCTAGGTGTGGTGCCCCGGGCACAGGCTCTGTCCACCCGGCCTGGGGCGGGCACAGCCAATCAGGCAACTGACAGAGCAGAGGGATTAGCTAGCCTGGAGCAGCCGGGGCTCAGATCAGACAAGAAGATGAACCCAGGAGTCATACAAACACAGGAAGAGCATCTGCTATGGAGGGAGAGTGGGACTCTGTGCCCGGGGGTCTTCCCTGGTTGACTTTTACCAAAGATGCAGGCCTTTCGTCTAAGGCACAAACATCTGGGGGGCCTCGAACTTCTGCTCTTTCCTTTAGCTGCTGAGCGAGTGACTTGTCTGCATTCCCAACCGTTCGCGGGAGACCACGTCTCAGGGAGTGGGGCTGCACACAACTGCGTGCCTTTGGGAATCTTCTGAACCGTTTCATTTCCAACAACTGCCAGAAGAGGCTTTCCCTCCAGAACAGGAAAGGGCAGACATCTGTCAAAGCCAAGGCCAGCATTCCCTTAAAAACTTGTGTTGGGGCTAGCCCTAGAAGACCAGGGACAGATGAGCCTGCCAGGATGGCTGGCCTCAGCAGGGCAGTGTCCGGGACATGCTTTATCAACTCTCAATCCACGGGGCCTTTTATCACACACACCCCCCACCACCCCGGTGCTCCTGGCCTCAGCCCACGCTGACCCAGCGGTGCCATTGTGAGTGCACTGGCTGCCTCTGAGCTGCTGGGTCTGGGTGAGCCCCTGCCAGGGGTCAGCAGCCAGGGGGGTCTAACCATGGTGGCTCTGGCTCCTTGCAGGCCTCAGTGTGGGAAACATGTTCTACGTCTTCGCCGATGATGGCATCGTCGTCGTCCACCCCGGGGACTGTGAGATCCAGAGGCACCTGAAACCCACCGAGAAGATCTTCATGAGCTACGTGAGTTTCCGGGTCTGCTGCAGCCTCCACGCCACACACAGCCACACGCGTCTTTAACTGTGTTTGCCCGGGTCCCTCTCAAGTCCCTGTGCAGGGTGTGGTTCCCCGTCCTTCATACAGCGGACACACCTGTGCACGTGAGTGGGGCCCAGGCTGGACAAAGGCTCCTGGTCTCCAGACGTGCTCGACCAGACGGCTGACACACAGGGCCTGTTACAATGCTGCGGGAGGCGCACCAGCAATAGTGATGAGCGGGGAGAAGGAGGGACAAGTCACAGAAGGTGTCCGGGGGAGATCGTGCCCAAGCTCCGTTCTGAAGAACGAGTAGGAACTGATGACACGAGAAGGGAAACAGGCCTCGCCAGCCCCACGCCATCCAAACGCACTGCCGTTGAGCCCACTCCGGCGGCTGGCGACCCTATAGGGCAGGTTGAAAGATGTGCCTGCAGGTTTCTGAGACTCTCAAATCCCGTTGTCCTCCCGGAGAGCAGCGGTGGTTTCCAACTGGCCCTTCAGTTAGCAGCCCATCGCATCACCACTGCGCCGCCAGGGCTCTTCCAGTGGGCTCAGGGAACCACAGATCTGTCTGTCTGTCTGTCTGGAGGGAAGACTGCATGGGGGAGGGGGCATGAGATTAGGCCAGGAAAGTAGGGAAGGCTCAAAGCACATAAAGCTGCGGCCCGCGGAGGCGTCCTAATAGGATCCTAACCGCTCTCCAACCACGGATGGCCAAGAAGACCATGACTGGAACTGGGGGGAGCCGTGGGTGGGGGGGGAGGTGTCACAGCCCTCCAGACCAGGTCGACTGGGGGACTGGAAAGAGTGAGGAGGACCAGAGATCAGTCTAAAAGGTGGGCCGGCAGGGAGGGTGCATGACGCCCTGTGGCTTGCTAGGAATGTGGTGCCCTTCGCACTGGAGGGAGAGGAGCTAGTTCTACAGCAGAGTTCATGCCTTCAGTCCTCCGCCAAGCCTATGTCACATGCCAGTCACCAGGAACAGGACAGGTGGGCCCAATGGTGATCGTCTGAGGCGAGCCTGAGATGGGCTCTCCCACCGAGTAAATGAAGCGGCAAGAGGCCTAGAGCACAGAGGGTCACAGAGCCCAGGGAAGAGCAGCTTTGAAAAAGCAGGGAGTAGAAGCAGGACCTAGAAAGCCCCGAGGTGTCCCCTGGGCTGGGTGCCCTGCCCGCCCCAGCCTCTGCCCCTCTGGCTTTTACCCCTCTGCTGGTTTCTTCTGTGAGGGTCTTACCTCTCCTACTAAACTCTCCTCTCCTTGAGGGAAAATAATGGCATTGAATTCCAAAGGTCCTCTAAAACCCCCACCTGCCTCTTCTCCTGCTGGCTCCCCCCTGGGTACTGCGTGAACTGGTAAGCGGAGGGCTTGGAGCTGGTGGGGAGGTTGCTGGCCCAGCAAGTTCCTGATGCACGCTTGCTGCATTGCTGCTCTGGGTACTGCCGTTTCTTGTTTTTTCTGGCTGTTGTATTTCTCACTTGTAGTTTGTAAACAGCTGTTTCTCAGGCCGTTTCATTTGAATTCATTGTTTTTTTAAAGCACTCCTGGCTGATGACTCTTACCTCCACCTGATAGCCAGGAACCTTTTTCTGAAGAGTGGTCCTAGTTGTCCCCTGGCAGCTAAGTTTAAATAATGGTGTTCAGTCACAGACTGTCACTAATTTTCTCACGGTTTGCAATCACCCAGCCTGTGCCTCAGGACTCCATCTTTCTGGATAAGAAATTAGAACAAGACACAGTAAGAGAGGTAGTCCCATGGGGGAGGTAATTGCCAATGTTCACGTCTCATCTGGCAACTACCCAAACATTTCACAGGCCTGTCGGCACGCGCTAACCACCCTCTTTCTAAAGAGCTGGGTGAGCACAAGGTGGGGGCGTCTCCCTTGGGCCACTGCAGGAATAAGTGCCCATTGGTCCAGCAGGAAGTAGCATCAGAGGTGAAGGTCGGTGCTATAGGAGGCTTTGTCTGCCACGATCTCTGGAACCAAAGTATTCTGGGAAGGAAGGGCCTGGGCACAAGGATCCGGAGATGGTGCTGGGATGGGGGAGGGAAGAGACTGGGGAAGTGTTGGATGACAGCCTGTCTCCTTTCCAGGAAGACATCTGTCCTCAAGGGGAAGAGTCCTCCCAATCATGCCAGTGGGCATCTGCAGTCAATGTCAGGAACCGGTACATCTACGTGGCCCAGCCAACACTGAGCAGAGTCCTGGTGGTCGATGTTCAAGCGCAGAAAGTCCTACAGGTACGTCTCTCTAAGGGAGCCAAGGGAGAGCTTTGTATTCCGGTCACATTCTTCCTTGTTTTCCGCACCATCCCTAGGTCCTATGGGAGGTGATCAGACTGAGGGGGAAAGAAGAGAAATATTCATGCGCAGTTTATCCATTAAGTATTTATTGTCTACTATGGGCCAAGTAGACTGTTCTAAGTGGAAAACAGCTGTGAATGAGCAATGAGGGCCGTGTGCTCTGGGTGCGTACATCACAGTTGGGGAGACAGACTGTACGTCAATCAGAGTGTTAGGGAACAGCCAGGCTGGGTGGTGGGGAGGGGAAGTGTGGTAGAGGAACTGGGGGACCCAGTGTCACTGGCCCTCTCCCTGGAGGTGACTAGGAGCTGAGATCTAACGGCCGAGTGGGACTGAGACTCTGGGAACACAAAGGCTGGAGTAGCCTGAAATCTGGAAATCCAGGGAAAAGGTGGCTGCAGCAAGGTCGGGGTAAACAAAGGGCAGCTCATACAGGCCTTGGGGGCCAATTAGGACTTAGAATAAAATCCAAAGAGAGAAAACCATCAAAGGGTCTTAATCAGGCCAGGGACTGGATCTTCCATTTCTAAAGAGTCAAGCTGGCTGCTGTGTGCAGAGCAAACAGATGAAGCAGGGCAGTGGTCATTGGCACTCAAGCAAGAGCTAGCAAGGCAGTGCAACTGGTGAAAAGCAATCAGGTTCTTGATACATTTTAACCGCAAAGCCCAAGAGATTTCTGCTGGGGTCTGTGTATGGTTTGGAAGAGGAGGAAGCAAGGAGTAGTTCAACTTTTTTTTAATCACTTCAGATCAGCACCTTTTTGGGGTTTAATGACTTAGAACTCACAACAGCTTTCCCTATGTCCCCGCCCCTCCATTTTTTACTTAAGCCCCTGTAGAATGGCAATGCCACGCACTGTGTGTGTGGTTGGCTGAATGATGGTCACTAAAATGCCCCTGTCCTAATTCCCAGAGCCTGGGGGTTATAAGGCACGAGAGACTGTGCTGCTGTGATTGATTCTGGCTTATCGGGGTAGTCCCTAAGTAAGTCACAAGTGTCCTTGTAAGAAGGAACTAGGGGAAATTCAACAGCCTGGAGGAAGGCAATGTGGCCAAGGAGTGGAAGGGGAGCACAGCTCCAGAGGCTGGAAAAGATGAGGAAATAGCTCTTCCTCTTGAACAGGGATCGGGAAACCGCAGCCAGGTGCGGCTCTTTCAGTACGTATACGTGGCTCTGAAGTAAAATGGGGAAATGTTAAAGGCTATTATTCAGATAATGGTGTTTCGTTTGTTTGGGAAAATATATATTTATGGTTCTGGAATATTTTTTTAATTGCTGTGAGGGACAGGATGAGTTCTTTCATCTCCAAAGTGAGCCCACCCCGGCTACAGAGAAAGCATGGGCCTGCCGCCAACATAACGGTTTCAGCCCAATGAAATTGATCCAGACTTCTGGCAGCTGTCTCTAGAACTGTGAGAGAATAAATTCTGCCTTGTTTTAAACCACCCAATGGGCGGTAATTTGTTACAAGGACAAGAGGAAACTCGTACATGATGATTGGAGGGAAAATTAGGAATTCGGTATAATTAGGTATTTGAAAATTAGGTATATGAGTAGAGCCATGTAGAAAGCAGTGAAAGAGGCCTGAAGCCAAAGGTGAGGTCTAAGCCAGAGAGAGGGCCACTTGGCAGCCACTCACATGGACTGTATTAAAGCCAGAGAACCGGGTGACGTCACCAAGGCTGACACAGATGGAGAAAAGGTCACCAGAGGAGCCCAGGACAGTCCAACAGTAAAGATGTAGAAGGAATGGCCTAAAAATTTTAGGCTAAAATGTAGGAAGACAATTAGGTGAGGGGTGGGGGAACGACACAGTAGTTTTCCGGAAGGCTAGAGAAGAGAGTGTTTCAAGAAAGTTAACAAAAGCCTCTCTACCCTCAAATATAGGGTAGAGCTACCCCTGTGGGTCCCCAGGACTGTAACTCTTTGGGGGAGTAGCAAAGGTACCCGCCCCCCATCTTGTTTTGAACTTCTGACTTTGTGGATTGCAGCCCAACCACAGAGCCAGTTCATGGTTGGTTAATGGTGTCAAGTTCTGCCCAGAGCAGTTGCATAGTATGACAACCGAGAACTGACAGATCCGGCTAGAGAAGCCATGAGCACTGTGGTAGGACCAAAGACAGGCCAAGCCGTGGCGGGAAAGCTGCTAAAATGGTAGGTGGGGACCTCGAAGTGGTGACTGTAGACCCCCTCTTGGAGGGCTTGTGGGGTAAAGGTAAATAAAAGTAGTTGCATGAGATAGGAGCTGGAAGGGAATGCCACGAGCATAGTTTGCTCCTTTTAGAATAGAGGGCATTGAAGCATTGTGTATCCCAAAGTTAACTTCCCAATTCTTCCGCTACCCTTCAGCCTCAGCAGAAGAGGCACAAGCCTTAGATACATGTGTGGACATTCTTTCATGACACCAGGCGGGCAATGCAACTAAGAGCTACAGTGGGTAGTAGTTAGAAGTCCTCTTCAGGTTTTGTTGTGTTTTGTTTTTGTTTTTCAGTGAAATGAGAATTACCACCAAGGCTAGAGGTTTAAGGAAAGAGGTGAAAAGTTGACAGTAAAATTAGATGGGTCAGGGAAATGGGATGAGGGCCACTTAAGGATGTAAATTTGAACGAATCTGCAGGCTTGTGTCTTTTTCTCCAGCTGCCCGGGCGCAGGCTCATTGTGGGAAGAAAATTGGATCTACGCAGGGCTGGGTTTGTCCTGGCAGATAGGCAGGCAATTTTCTAGTGCTCCTTTCTTTTCCTGATTTCCCTGGCCAGAGCGCATACACCGAACGGCTTCATTCCTTTTGAAATTTATTGTGACTTGCTTTGTGACCCAGCTCATAATCAATGTTGGTAACTGTTCCGTGTGCACTTTAAAAGAACGTGAATCCTGACATTGTTAATGTTCTATAAATGTGTCAATTATCAACAGCTTAGTGCATTGTCCTTATGGATTGAATTGTGTCCTCAAAAATAGGTTGTAAGCCTTACCCTCTTTGCCTCCGGTGGTAATTGCATGTGGTATGGGCTTTGTTGTGCTAATTAGTCTGGATTGGTGTAAGATGCATCTTGAGTCAATCTCTTATGATTGCTTTTTTTT